TTCCAACCGAGGGATTCTGTGATTCTGTGAATATTCTGTGAGCTGTTGATCTGTCCAGAAGTATCCAGCCTACCCTTTGCTGTTTTACAGAGGTGATCCCATGGGAAAAGAATTTAAATCTGCTCTGTGACATAAATTAATCTGACAGCTGTGCTACCATTGCTTTTTCTCCCATCCTCTCACATGCGGCCTTTCCCTTATCTCTTCATGCCATCTCTTCCCTGAGCGGTGGAGAACAGCATTCTCTGCCAACATGTCTGTGTTTTCAGGCCCAGCGGCTGGCCTGCATGGCAAACCACACTGCTTCCCACCTGCTGAAACTTGATCAAAAAAAAAACAGAGCAACGAGGGTCCCATGTGACAGCAGAGCGGCTGCGCTTTGACTTTGATACCAAGGTGACTCTGAACCTGTGTTTTGTTGTTATGAGCAGTACCAGCATCCCAGTACAGGCCTTCTCTCAAGGGATTTTTCTCCTCTCCATAATCACTCCTTTAGAGACAGGTCACATCTTAATCTGAGCAGTGAAACTTGGCCCTCTGGAGATAACTGGTTCTGCTTTGTGTTGACCTGATTTTGAGGAGGGCTTTCTGAGGGGATGAATTGGGGGTCAAAGGGAAAAGGATTTAGCAAGGCCAGTGAGCATGGGGCTGATCTGAGTAGTGTAAAGGGGTCTCTGTGAGATTCACTAGCTTGACTGTGGCACATGTCTGATGTCTCTCCTGGTCATCCAGGTGAGAGGGGTTGGGAACTGAAAGCTGTTGGGTCAGGTTGAGCCCTGGCCCTAGTAACCTGTCACTCACTGCAGCATCTCTCTTCAAGATGCAGGAAGACCAGATGCAGGGGGATAGTGGTGTGCCCCAATCAAGTTGCTTGGGGTGCTCTGCCCCAGTTCTCCCTCCTTTGTTCTGTACCTCTCAGAATGCTTCTCTGTAAAGTGGCTGATTTACTTCCTCAGGGCCCTGTGACTGTGGAGCAACTGCAGCAAGTGGAGCAAGTGGTCCAGGATGTGATAAAACGAAATGAGGTTGTGCATATGGCTGAGGTCCCCCTCACGCTGGCAAGAAGAGTTCAGGGACTCCGAACAGTGGATGAGGTATGAGAGGATGGCAATGCACACATTCATAAGCTTTCTCCTTCAGCAAGAATCATTTGGGTCATGAGAGATTTTGGCACAACAGGTTTCTGCAAGAGAATGGGCTCCCAGAACTCAGGAAGGGGAAATGGGACAGAGATGAGATCTCGGGAGCACTGTGTTGTAAAACATGGAGGTTGATGATGCACAGGCTTTCTGCTCATTTCTTTGGACCAAAACCTTGTAGTGTCACCCAGTTGTGTCTTTCTCTCCATGGTGGCTGGTTGTGGGGGAGAAGCATTTGCTGCCCCTGACTCTGGAACTACTCTAGAATAGGGGAAAAGGGAGGCAGAGACCTGAAGCTGTGTAGTTACTCTGTAAGTGCCCCTGAAGGGCCTCGTTGTTAGCTGCTGATCCCTGTCTCCTCTGTTAGGGGTATCCAGATCCAGTGAGGATAGTGTCCCTGGGGGTCCCTGTGGAGAGCGTGCTGACCCGTGACTCTGAGGCTGCCATGCAGACCTCTGTGGAGCTCTGCTGTGGGACGTAAGTGACTTTTACTTGCAGTCAGAAGGTGTTTTTGTAGGTGCTGGTGGCTGAGGTAGAGACATTCTTGCAAGCTCCACTCCCTGTCCCTGTGCAACTAGGTTTCCTCCCTAGAAAGTTATTGTGAGGACAGGATGGACTAGTTACAAAGCTTTGTAAGTCCCAGGGTGAAAATGAAATGCAAAGCATTTTTCCTTGCTTCATAGTCTGAAACCAACCTGGAAGCCACAGGGCACAGAGGTGTGTGGCCTGTCACATCAGACTTACAAGGCTTTGCCTTTGGGGTTGCAGGAGGGCTGAGGACCCAGCAGGAGACTCTCAGATAGTTGTGGGATGTTTAGACCACTCTGATTATTTTATTTCATTATCTTCATCTTCTTCTCCTTTTAGCAGTAATGATAGTAGAAGAAGTGTTAACCAATCTTAGGGCAATGCTGACACACACACAAAAAAAAGACAGAAACAAATTGCATTTGAGCAGATACAGCTGAAAATGAGCAAGTTTCTAGTCATGAGATCATTCTTGTGTGAGTAGTGGGACAAGAAACTGCATGGGAGTAGAGATGATCAATTCTTGTGAAGCTGTCTGAAATGATTGCTTGTGGTAACAGAACCCGAGACAGTGTTGTTGTTTTCTTATCCAGTGCTGAATAGCCAAGAATGGAAGGGGCGGGGGTGTTGTCAGTGCCCTGTGACTGCACAACTGGCCTGTGATTGAAGTCTGCTGGCCAGTCTGTGAGCTGGCCTGACAAGAGAGTGGTGGAGTTGAAGGAAAAAATTACTTTCTACAAGGTTCAGTAGCAGCTGAGAAGAGATAAATCCTAATTCATCCCACTGCTGAAGGAAAGGAGAAGAAAGCAAGGCAGAACTTGGCTGTTACACACCATTTGACAGCAGCCTGCTGGGCAGGTATCACAGAGGTTCATCTGGAGTAGCCTTAACTCTGCTGTCTCTTGCCTGACAGGGTGCCATCAGGATTTTAGGGATGGGAAAGGACTGAAGTTAATGGGACTGGGGAGGGGCTGCCAGACTTGAGACAAGTCTAAAAGGAAAGCAGGCTTCCAGATTTCTGTTCCCACAGAGCAGCTTGTTTTCTTTGCTGTTCTCTGTTGAATTTGCAGGCACCTTCTACAAACAGGAGCTGTGGAGGATCTGGCCATCATCAGTGAGCGTCAGCTTGTTAAAGGGATTAGCCGTGTCACTGCAGTGACAGGGGGACAAGCCAAACAGGTAAGAAATGGGGAACTGAGATTTTTTCGTCATGTTGAGGCAATGCCAGAAGGACCCAACTCTGTAAGTTCCTGCACAGGCAATTATCTCCCCTCCTGCTTTGGCTTGAGCCTCTCTGCTGTGCCTGATGCAGCTTCCTCCTTCACCCCCAGATGCAGCTTTTCTGCCATACCTCACTATTCACCTCCACTCCCTCCTGCCCTAGTCTCCTGTCTCCTTGACCTTCATTCCTTCCCTCAGACCCTCTTTTCTAAGAACAGAGCTTTGCACAAAATATCAGGAAGCCTCTAGACTATAAATTTCAGTTCTCATGTAGGTATTTAAAGATGTGATCCTTTGTGCTTTGATTTCACCTCTTGCTCACCTGCTGCCTATCACAGTTGGATTTGCACTTAATGCAAATAAGGTTCTGGCCTCATTCTTACAGCCCTTTTGCCTTTTTTTTTTTTGTCTTTTTGCTGCTTAACTGGTTCTGGTCTGTCTGGGTCTGTATAAATAGTAAGGAACCTACGATTGTGTCCATGATATTGCTCTGTCCTTTTGAGTATCTGGAAGTGTCGAGGCCCTGCCACCTTGCCCACTTTGTTTAAGGCTGCAGTCAGAGGAGGGTGACTCACTCTCAGTTGAACTGGGAAGACTAAAGGCAAAGCCCACCCCTGCAAAACTGTTGCCTTTTGTCTGGCTGTCCTCTGTGCATTTGTGTCCCTGTCAAGGCTTTCTTTGGTGCAGAGGAACAAAAAGCTGCAGGACACATCTGTATGCTTTGCTGAAGTGCTGACCTGGAGAGCCCCTGAGAGGAGCCATGTGCATGTTTTAATCAGACAAGGGAGACTGCAGGCATGAGGGAGTGACTTGAAAGAAGGGATATGTATCCTAGCTAGACAGAGCAGTCCTCACTGTCCACAGCTTTTCTTATGTACTGTCTGCTGTCATGGTCTAAAGTGTCACAGGACCATCATGGTAAGATCTGTCGAGGAGGAAATGCTCCAAACCATAAGGATTGTCACTGGTGAAAAAAGCTTGCATTAGCTTTTTATATTAATGGTAGCATTGGTGTTGGGGAAAGCAGTAAGTACATCAAGATCAGCTGAACTCAGGAAATATGCTTGAACAGCCGATGAGGTTTCTTTAGTTTTAGTGTTTCTTTTGTTTCTTCAGTCAGTACTTTCAAGAGTGCATTTGCTAATGAATAAGAGCCCTACTAGGTAAATGAGGCTCCTAAGGTTTTTTTCTCTGAGAAATCCTGATGATTTGGTATGAGATACTGAGGAAACATAACTGCACGACAGCTTGGTCCCCTGGGTTTGACTGTGACCATTTAGTGTCAGCTGCAGATCTAGAGAGGAATGTTCAATTTCAGAGTCTCTTGGGGACAGTCATTTTCAAAGCCTCTGCAGGTGTCTTCCCACTGGATCCTGAGTAGCACTTCAGGGTTTGTGACCCTGCTGCCTTCCCACTTTCTTTGTTCCTGCTCATTGTTTCTGTTGCTGCATTTAAAGGTTTCTCTCCCTCTCTCTCTCCAGGCCCGGGAAGCAGGCCAGTGCCTGGCTATGGAAGTGGACTCTGTCTCCCTACGAATGAAGCAAAGAAGCAGCTCTATTCCTGAGATGCAGAGCCTCTCCAAAGAAGTGGGCCAGTTGACCGAAGTAAGGCTTACACTCCATTACACAAAGAGCCCGCGTGGGCGCTATACACTTGAGGGATCTTCCCTACCAAGTTCACATCTTACCATGATCAATAGCAAGGGCATGTTGTTACCTGCTGGTGCCACTTTGGTCACAAAGATTTCAACCAGTACCTAGGTACCTGTGTTGCAAATGTCCTGCTGCCAGTGGCAATGTGAGAGAAGGCAGTGGGAGGAAGGGTAAAGCAGTGAAAAAAGGGTTCCCAAGGTTTTCCTCAGGCCCAGCTGAAAACAGTCACAGAATCGCAGAATAGTAAGGGTTGGAAGGGACCTCTGAAGATCATCCAGTCCAATTCCCCCTGCCAGAGCAGGATCACGCAGACTAGGTCACACAAGAATGCATCCAGGTGGGTTTTGAATGTCTCCAGGGAAGGAGACTCCACAACCTCGCTGGGCAGTCTGTTCCAGAGAAAGCTACACACCACAGTGACTGGCTGACCATAGGGGTATAGAAGGGTCTGGGAAGAGGCCAGGCTCTAGTCTGACCTCCCAGAGAACTAGTAGTTTATTACTAGTTTAGTGCTCTTACACAACAAATTGTCTTGCAGGTGGTGGCTAGCACTGCAATACCCCAGTGGCAAAGAAAAGAACTACAGACCATCCTCAAAGCGCTACAGCGAACAGCCAACACAGCCATCAGGAAACTGGAGATACAACAGGTATTTTGGCAGCAGCGCACTCACTGCAGCCTGCTAATAGCACTGTGTGGCATACACCAGTGGACCTGGTGTCTCTGTCACACTTTGCAGCCACTCGGTCACTAGGGTCTCACTAGAAGGCAGAAGAAAGCAGGTACAATCACACACAGTGCAATACAAGCCCTCTGTTGGGTAGATTTCACTGGCATTAACCAGGGCCATCATTTAAAATGTCAGTGAATGCATGACTGGGCTTTCAGCACCTGCAAAATCCCCATGTCTCTGCCTGTGAGGATGGAGAGTCCCATAACAGCACTTTTGGCAAACACCAACAGGCAGATGGGCATCACCTCCCTGTGTTTGCATGGAGAAGATGAGAGCTGGCCCTGGCAGTGGGCTTTACAAGGTTCTGCAGTATGACAGTGGCAGGACAGAGCCTCTCTCCCAGCCATATGGATGTTGCTGTGGCTTCCTACTGTATTTGTGTCCTGCCCATTTACACTAAAATCCCTTTGTAAGTGCTTATTGGTGACTTAGTGTTCTCAGTAAGAACGATCCTTTCCTTAAAGTAGAAGCATCTTGCCACAGGAGCCTTCCTGAGACATGTGGTGATGTTAGGTCCATGAGATAGGCTGGGGACTGAACGAGTCGCTGTCTATTCCACTTTTCAGAAGGGTTCATCTCTGCTTGCTTTTGAGGAAGGATAGTTGTACAGGTCTCTATGTGAAGACTTCAGTCTGAAAGTCTTTCTGTGACTTCTGCTAACCTCCGTCTCCCCTCTGTCCCACAGAGCAGCACTTCTATTCCTTGTGTATGTATGTAACATACATATATCCCCACCCTGTGCCACCTGTGGCCACTAAAGTGCTGTGTGTTTCCTCCTCCAGGCTGAAAAGAAGGCACAAAGCCTGCTAGAAAAACATTGGAAGCAACCTGTCATCATTGATACTGTCCCAGCTGATTCCCTCTCTGTGAGTAATCTATGTTGCTTTTTGGCTCAGCGGTACCTCAGGTGCTGCACACAGTAAGAGGGAGCTGCTGGGCACATATTTTGCTGCATGCCAGTCTCCTTTACTGTAGCTTGTCTCCTCTTCTCCCTGCCTCTCCTAGATCCTAATGAAGGTAGTGAACCTGTTGTGTGATAAGTCTCCTGGCACATCAGTCCTGCTGCTCAGCCCTCAGGCTTCTGGTGAGGTGCTCTGTGCCTGTCAGGTGTCCAAGGTAAGCAGAACCCTGGTAGAGACATGAGGAACCTACCTGCGAAGGGAGACTGCACCCACTGCTCAGCAGGTCCCAGGCTTTCCTGGGATTCTGCTCAGTGGAGGTGGTTAATCACACAGGCGTAGGACCTGGGATGACCGTAGTGCTATCAGTCTCTGTTGGGCCCTGGATCCTCCAGGCCATGTTTGCCAAGGGGCAAGACACGGTATTAACATGCAAGCTCAGCCTTTGTGGTTCTGGCAGTCATGGCTGCCTCAGATTAATGAGGGCTCAGGCTGGGTGAGGAGAGTTTTGTCTTTATCCAGACTGCAGAGTGCTCCACAGTCCAAATGCCTTTGCTCTGTGTCTCTTCTCCAGAATTGCCTCCCCATGTTCTCTGCTGCTGACTGGGCCGTGGCTGTCTGTACGCAGATGGAGGGGAAGGCAGGAGGCTCTCCCATCGTTGCTAAGGGCAGTGGAAATGCCAAGGGCATGCAAGGAGCCCTGACTACTGCGCTGGAGTTCGCTCAAAGTAAACTGTGATGTGTCAGGACAGCTGTGTGCACCCCAGCTGCAAGCTATCACTTGATGCAGACCACACATCATACTCTGCTGATCTGAAAGGTTTAGCAGCTCCCATGCTGAACATTGCTGCAACTGCCGCGTTGGAGCACTTGACTTCTGACCATCCAGGATCAGCAGAGACGCTGCTCCCGATCCCACTGACAGAACGATGCTGCCTGTTCCCAGCACGAGTGTATGGGGATTGAGCCTTGGGAAGCACTAATTGTTACAGCAGATCCTGCTTCTCCTGGAACAGTGCAGTTTTTGCCACGGGACTGGCACAGAGACTCCATGAGAGCATGGGGAGATGGCACAGTGTTATCCTAAAGCCATTAAAGGTTACAGTGTGTCTGATCCACTCATGTTTCTTGTTAGCTGCACCTCTTTTTCTGCTCTGATCTGGCAGAGGGGCTCATTCTGTCCCTGCAGCCCTGCAAGTCAGCACAAACTCTTGTCTAAGTAGTTCCATTCTACTGCATAATTCAGGACACCCCTCTGATTAGAAATGCTACTATGATTTAGAACTGGGAAGAGAAGTCTCACTCTGCTTGCAGGCTTAGCCTTGTTAGGCTGTGCAATGGGTAGTCCTGAAGCCAGTCCTCAGTTCATGGAGGGAACAAAATCATCCCAACCTCCACCTCTTTGCTTTGGATAAATGTTCTTATCCTTGTTTCTTCCTGCCACCCCGTTATAACTCCTTCCTTCTCACACTGCCTTCTGGCCTCTTACATACCAGCACCTACCTAAAAACTACCCTGGATCAGGTGAGCCATGTGAACGGGGACTGTTGCTGTGTTCCAGTGTTGAACTCTCTGCAGCAGGACACTTAGCTCTGAGGTGAGCAGGTCTCCTTTCTAAGCTGGCTGCTTTCCACAAGCACTAGCAGACCAAGCAAACTCAACTCATAAAAGACATTTCAGACTTTGTTGTTAGAGTGATGTCTAGAGCTCTTGGCCAAAGCACCATCATTTTAGATACTGTATTGACCTAAATAGAGATTGTAAAGGTAGCTAACACAAAGGTGCAACAGAGTAGTGTTACAAGCAGGTTTCAGCCTGTGAGCAGCAACAGCAGGCTGACGAGGATGAATTTCACCAGCAGGTAGGGTTGTCTGTCGCTGGGAAGTGAGGTGGAGGCGGCAGTAACTGCATGCTTTTGGGGAGAGGGGGAGGAGGGGTCGGAGCACAGTGCTGCTGATGGATGGGGAGGAGGAAATGGCTGTCACATAGATATTGGTGAAGAGGATGTAGCGGGGAATGGCCTACTCTCCTAATGAGAGGCTTCCTCTGCTTTTCTTAGCTGTCTGTGGGAGAGGGTGAATAGCTGCTGTGAGCTGAGCCTCCTCTCCCTTCTCTCTCAAAGAACAGCTCACCTGGTGAAAAAAGAAGGTGGACATAGAGGCATCACTAGAGGACAAGGGATTTTCTTCCCTATCACAGTGGCTGTCCAGCCCAATATCTCATATGGGGTCCCTACGGCTCCTCATCTTGCAAAGTGCCAGGAAGCTGGTTTTGTATTTGGTTAAGTGCTTGATGTAAATATGAGAACATGGAGGCAGAAGGAAAACAGTTTTTAGTAGTGGCACTCCCCACCGTTCTCTGCTCCTCCAAAGCACATACAGCTACAGCAGACCTCACTCATTCAGTAAATGCTGCTTCCAGCCATGGAGCTTAAAGCAGGGCTTGTTGTGAAGGTGAGGCTACGAGCCAAGGTCTCTGGCATCTGCTCAGACTCCTGAGAGAGCAGCCATCAGATGGGTGCACAGGCCACTTCCATCACCCCATCAGTGAGGCAGGTTGTTGGTCACTGCAAACCCTGCCTGCCTTTCTGTGTGCTGTAGCAGAGCAGCTCGCTGCTTTCTCAAATTTATTTCCATTTTTGGATGCAGAGGTGCTGCTGGTGCTTATAACATCTCTTCAAGGATCCTGAGCAACGGGGGAGACCTGGAACATCCAGCCCAGCACTTTGGGGACCTTGTGGTGAGGCTGGTAGGATGCTGGAGAGGGTTTGTGGAGTCCCAGGGGATGGTTTGTGCCATCAGTTGAAAGCAGCGTTAGTGCCTGGTGTCACACAGCTCCTGTGTTTCACTTCAGCCACAGCAGTACCAGGTGCAGGGAGGGGAAGGGGTGCTCTGTCTTATTGGGAAAGCATTTTCCTGGGGTGTTTTTGTGTTACTGTATTAAGAGCTGCTACAGAAGATAATGTCTACTCTCGGTACTGGAGAGTAGGTGTGAGGAGGAGGAGAAGAATGCTGGGTTGAGCTGCTCCTGCACCGTGCTCCAAAAGCAGACCCTGAGCTTGCCAGCAGCAGCCTTACAGAATAAACCCCCTTTGGTCTGACTTTTTAGCTTCAAAAACCACTGACGCCTTGTAAACTTCTGCCCAGCCCCTTAAGGGGGAGCAGGGGTCTGTGTGCTGACCTTCAAGGTCAACCATAAGTTGACCATGGTTGACCATAAGGTCAACATACCTTATGAAGAAGGTATAAACTGAGCCCCTGTCATCGTTCCCCTGGAGGGCCAAGGGCTGCTGCTGGAGAGGCAGCCAGAGTGGTGGCTCTTGGGGCTGTTGGAAGGAGGTTCATCACCACTGTGGGGGCTGTTCCCCAAATAGCAAAGTCCTGATAGTTTGGCACCACGGCTCTGCTCTCCCCACAGCCCATGGGAAATGCAGCTCCCTGCTCTCAGGGGGACAGCCCCAGCCCTACAGTGAGCAATAAGCCCTACCTCCCAAGCAGGGGCACTGGAGGAAGGCTTAATGATCCTGCAGCCAATTAATTCCAACCATTTGGGAAACCAGTAAGTGTTGATTACATGACAGCAGTTACAGCATGGCCAAGCAATGGTGGAAAGCAGGCAACAGGAAAGGCCCACCACGGTCTTACACTGCATGCACTCCAGCCAGCAAGGGTTGTAGGGCTCCTAAAGCAGAGTAGGGGTGTCAACCTGGTCATCCCCTGTGGGCTCTCTGAGTGGTCTTGGGTGACCCCTGCAGCCAGGCTTCCCAGAGTGGCAGGAGGCTGCTGAGGACCAAGTCCCACGGCTCATCAAACAGCTCTGGGGGTGGTAGCAGCACATCTTTGAGCAGCAACCACCTGCATAGCCCTCCCCAGCATCTCTATGCCCATGGCTACCTGCAGGATCAGCCAAAAGACCTGCTCAGGCTGGGGGAGTTGCTCTGCAACAGCCACACACCACATGGCATCAGGCCAGTACTATACCATATCTACATCAGTTTGGTATCAGTGTTCCTCAACTTCTGAACCTCTGGAAGCTGGAGCCACAGTCCCTTTTCTGCATATGCAGCAGCCCCTGCACTCAGTGATGCTGCATATCCTGTAACACCTTCCTATAAATGTCTTGGCCTTTCTGGTCATGAAATTCAGTATTTCCTTTCCTCTCTCTAAGCCCACAAGGATTTAAGCGGGTCATCAGTGAAGTCACTGAAGCATAACTAAGTCATGACCTTACTAGATCACATAAGCTCACTACACTAAACAGATTCTCTAATTGAAGGAGAAAAAGGGTCTTGTTCTACCAAAGAGTAGTTTTGTGGAGGAATCTGTGGTGCCCATATTACCCTAGGCTGGTAAAGTGAGTTGCTGCAGTAGGAATGCTGGGTTTTGAGCCACAGCCATGCCAGGCCATTGCTGATCCCAGGAGAGAGCTTTTCCTGTTGTTCTCCTGGCGAACCCCCAGTGCACAGACTTACATCCCACCCTCCCCTTTCCCTGCCGCAGAAGGACAACGCATTCACATCCTATGCTACAGCCACAGTAGCTGCCACATTTCTGCCTGGGATGCTCTGCGTTTCAGCTGCGAGTCAAGCGATGCTCAGCTGGGAGGGCTTGGGGCAATGAAACACGAGTTTTAAATATAGTTCTCTAGCCAAAATAGCAGCCTACATTCCCTTAGTGTTCATTAGAGACCTAAAGTGCGAGCAGTACCCTGGGCACACATTTGCAGCTCCAAACACATGCATGCAGAGGGGACGGCAGAATTAAAGAGATGATGGGTTTTTTGCTGCAAACAGGTGCTGACAGGTTGGCAACACCTCCGTAAGTCCAGATGGACCCCAAGGTCCCTTAAGGGCATGTGCAATGCAAGGGCTTGCCAACCCCAATCCCAAGCAGCTACCTGACTTTGGCAAAAGGGGAGCAGAAAGTGCTTGCTTGTCTCTTCTTGCTCCAGGAGCTTTGTTCCCAATTGCCTGCACTGCAGAGCGAGAAGTCCAGCTCTCCCTAGGTGCCTTTGCTACTCCCAGCCCTGGGGCAGGCTGCTGGAGGGACCGGAGGTGCTGCACCCTGGGCCATAGAGTCATTGGTGTCAGGCAGTATTTTAGGGCATGCAGGCAGGGCAGGAGCAGCCCCATGGCCAAACTACCTCTCCAGCCCTGGACCTCTCATTCTTGAGGACCATTTCCCGGGACTGAGCCAGCAGCAGAGTGCCATGGCAGCAGAGTGCCATGCTGAGATCCCACAGAGGCAGGAGAAGCGTTTCAAGGGGAACTCCAACAGCTCGCCTTTGCTGTGTGTCCTTCACAGCCGGCCGGTTCCCTGTGCCAGAGTGCCGGCACCTCGCAGTCAGCTCCTCAGCTTGGACTGCCGCTTGCTGAGAGGCACAATTTGCTCAGCTGCAACCCAAGAAAGTGCAGGGAAAACCCATGGAGGTGGGAGAAGGGCCCTGCTCCCCCTCCAGCCTCCTCACCACCAACCCAACTGTTGTCAGGAACACCCTGCTACTGAGCCCACCCTCCTGACTGGGATGCTGCCTGCTGGAGGGAACTCAAGGGATGACTTTTGATTGATTTATGCCATTTTGAGTCTTAGTCTACTGGAGGGTGGCTGGCAGGGGCCCAGAATGTCTGCCAGTGAGGCTGCTGTGGTGTTACCTGGTCTGCATCCAGACCCGCCATTCAGAGAGCCATGAACCACGCACTGCAGAGTCACTCACCCTGCCATCATGCAAC